GCGGCCGGGGTTGGTCCCGCCTTTCCCGCTCCAGTAGGACGGCGCCGCCGGCCGGCCCCCGGTGTTGTCTGCTGGGTAGCGCCGGCAGGCCCGCGCGGCGGCGGAGGAAGAAGCCCTGCGACGCTCCTCGCCGCGCCCTCCTTCGCTCGCGGCCGGGGTTGGTCCCGCCTTTCCCGCTCCAGTAGTACGGCGCCGCGGGCCGGCCCTCGGCGGGCTGGCAGCTAAGCAGCCGCGCTCAGCCCAGGTGAGTCTCTGCTTTGCTCGGCCAGGCGCTTCCCGGGGACTGCGGCAGGCAGGGAGAGAGGAAAGAGCAGAGCAGGCCCGGCTTTGCGGCCTGAGCGAGCTTTGTTTCCCGCTGCTTGGGTGGCTTCGCCGGGTCTGGCTGTTGCTCCCTCCTGGGGCTGCGGAGGTAAACTGCGGGGTGGGACTCTCCTGGGAATTGGGGGGGAACAGGCTGCTGCCGCATCTCTTCCTAAATGCCTGTGTGGGAGGGAGGGAGAGCGAGAGAATTAATGCATAAAATCCCTCCCCCTCCAGCCACTCTCCCCCTCTCCTTCAACCTGGCATTTGTGCCCTTGCATATTTTCTTTTTAGGGTGGCGGAGGCTCTTTCTTCACTGTGGCTTAGCCCCGTGTTTTGGGGGGCTTTGCTTTAAGCAAGAGTTGGATTAAGATCAGAGCAACAGGTATTTTCTTATTTGCCTATTGGATGGGTTTTATACAGTTTTATAACGTCGAGTAACACATACACACACAGCCGCTGGCAGGGAAGAGCCAGAGCTGTCGCTTCCTTCTCTTCTCTTCTCCCCTTCCCTTTGTGTTGTTGACACTTTGCAACCCCAGCCTGAGCAAAGAGGGTGAGTGGTTAAAGGCACCATTCCCTCTCTCCCTCCCTCTCTCTCAGGATATCTTTCTATTCTAAAGAAATATTATTCCACTAGTTTTGACCACTTTCTATGTTATTTGCACAGTGACGTTTTTTAGACGTCAAACATTTTTTAACGACAAAAGAAAGGGATTATGATTTTGAAAGAGAGAAAAAAAGCCATTGATTTTTCTCTGAGGGAGAAAATGCCTGCATCTTTGAGATGACTGCAGATGGCTTCATGTGGACACTTCACCATGACTTTTTAGCATTACAGTAGTAAAATTGTTGGTCATCTTGTAATTTCAAATGTAGTCAGGACTTTGGTAGCTAAGGTATGACCAAAGCAATGGACTCCCGACTTGGGCTGGTCCATTGTTGGACAGTGTTGCTCCTACCTAGAGAAAGGTGGCCAGCTGAGAAAATCTGTGTAATCTAAAGCTTTTCTTAAGGCATTTCCAAACCATTGTGTGGGAAATAGAAAGTGGGAGGAGGTACTTTTTAAAAAAAAAAGTCTGGAACCTTTCCATGGCAAATGGCAAAAATCAGGTAATATATTCTTTTCTGTGTCTTTACTCCAAAGCAGTGTAATTGATCTTTGCAGTTATTTGCACATAAAGAAATTGTGACAGTGTGGTTACTCTCTTGTATCAGTATTACTGTTGAGTACTGATTGCTTTCTCTCTCTTCTGCCCCATGATGAAAACTAGAGATAAATACAATTCCTAGGGATATTTGTGTTGTTCTTTCATCACCATGGTGATGTTTTTATTTTTTGCACTAAATATACTTTTCCAGTTTGAATTGGGCGTAATCTTTTTTTTAATTGATCCATTGTCAGAGGAAGGGATTGCGATTTAAAACTGGGATGATTTCAGTGGCGTCGTTTTTATGTTGAACGGAGTTTTATTTCCCTTCCCCACACCCATCCTCCTGTATCAAGTAATTTCTGTGAATTCATTGGTGTTAACTGTATATGTTTGAAGCAATGCAGGGAATCTTGAAAACTTATGAGTTTCCATGCCTTCTGTGCTGTTAGGCCCTGGTATCTGATTTGCGCGTTAACTCTTGGTTACAATCTGATGAAAATTTTCTGTAGATTATGACCTTCTAATGTGTTGAGGCATTTAGAAGTGCTTCATGGGAAATTATGCTTAATCAAAATATTATGCTTAATCAAAAATACTTCTGTCAAAGACCATCAAAGCCTATTACTTCTGGTGAAGATCATTCCTCTTTTTAATTTTATAGACTGATATTTGAGGTTGAAATTTTTTTTTTAAAGTATGGAGTAGAAAAGCTTTTCTCAGGTAATAAAAAGCAAATAATATTGTATATCTGTATATCTTTACAGATTTATAGAAAGAGGAGTAGAATGAGAAAGCAGACATTTGCAAATGGCAGAAGAATGTAATAGTAGTTGCCAAAACATAGAACTAGTAGAATTAGGAATTCTATTACAGGACTGGTAGAGTAAAAAAAAAAAAAAAAGTACTTCTGAATGAGTTATAGAATTATTCAATAATTTGCATTCCTCCATTTTTTCCAGAATCTTAGCAGTACTTTTATTCTTTGTGGTGATGCAACCTAGCCCAGTAGATAGCTCTTTCACACATCTTGCAACTACAACATTAAGGGTGGAGTATAGAATCAATGAAGTACATCAGATTTAGTTTTGGGTTTTTAAAAGCATTTACTGTAACCAGCATTTTAGTGTACAATTTAGGCATTAGGTACGGAATAGAGGACTTAGAAAAACTAGAAAGAAGTATAGTCTAGATTGATGAATTCTTAGACACTTAAACCATTGCTAGTTATTCTATCCTGTACTTCTAACTTCTTTGTTTAGTACACTTGGCATTATATACTGCTACAGAAATACTACAGGTAGTCCTCACTTAATGGCCGTTCATTTAACGATGGTTCAAAGTTACAACAGCCTCAGAAAAAATTCTTTATGACCTGTACTTGCACTTATGACTGTCACAAATAGTTGCACCACCCCCTCCCCCACAATCACATGATCATAATTTGCAACCTTTTTACAATGGTTGTAAAGCAAATCATGTGGTCATTAAGTGAAATCTGGCAAAAAAAGTCATTGGGGGAGCTGGATTCACGTAATGACTATGTGATTCACTTAACAACTGGTGATTCACTTTGTGACTATTGTAAAATGGTTGTAAAATGGGATCCAGTCATGTGACCCGCTTAACGACTGCCCCACTTAACAATTTTCTGGTCCCTATTCTGGTTGTTAAGTGAGGACTGCCTGTATAACATGATAGTTAATTTTACATAAAAATATTTATGTACATATATTCTTTACATAAAGAATAAGAGCCTGAATTGTTTGATGCTATAGATCAGTATATCAACTTTTATCAAGAAATCAGTCTTGCATGGGGAAAATACAAATTTGAAAATAAATAAAAATAAAATATGGAATTTGATGTGTTTAAGAGACAGACTTTGCCATTGTGCTTAATATCTACTGAGCTCCCCAGCTTGAAATGTGTTTGGAGTTGATACTTTATACAAAAAAAGTTTCCTGCGTAAAGAAGTCTTTCTGGCACAGTATAACATATTTCAAAAGCCACCCCTGGTGTTAATGCTCCCCAAATTTCCCCCTTTCCTTCCTTTAGAGGCTTATGATCTGAAAACAATTCAGTTACATACTGAGTCCCATAGGACTGGCTACTGTATATTGTTCCTGATTAAAACGTCTATGTTCTATTTTGAGATTGTTCTGTTTGCAACACTGCAACAGATGCAGGCTTAGCTGCTAACCAGTATCAGTGGTACTTCTGTGTAAGAGTCATTGGGTTATCCGCAAGGTTTGGGTCCAAGACCACATTAGAATCCATGCTCTGCATGTAGCCTTTAAACACCATCAGGTGAACATCGTTATTCTAAAGCCATTTTCATTGTGTCTGAACATGGCTTGAAGAAACAGTTGTTTGGATTTAGTAATAGAAAAGTTGGAACTTATAAAGAGCTATGCTTTGATTAAGAGCAAAGTTCAAATCCAATGCAGTTTAGGGCAGGTTGGGAAAAAATATATTTTATGCTCAAAGTAGGGAAGAGAACTCTAACCTAGAGATGTGGAAAAGAAATGAGAACTTTTAGAAAAAATAAATCCTCCAGAAAAGTTGATATAAAAACAAATATTGTATCTCTTTTAATTTTTTCCATTTTTTTTCTGAAACTACCCCCCCCAGTTCCAAAATTTCCAGAAATGTTACAACTCTAACCTGCACTGTTCTGAGTTAAAATCCTCTGCAAAGCTTTGATCCTGGTTTATTATTGTGAAACTCGCCCATATTGCAAATGCAACACCACAGCAACCACACCAAATGGAAGAGGAATTTTTAAAAATCTTTCAGTACTTGTATATAGTAATATGCCTTGCAGTGGGGTACGGGGAAGAGGTATTCCAGATTCCAGTCTGTCCACAAATAGAGTGACCCTTGTGATTAGACCATCGGTGTTTTCTGGAATTAAAGTCCAGAATTAGGACCAAATCAGAATAGGCTATACGCATACTGATTTGGGGCAAGTCTGGTTATATCTGGGGCCTCAGATCAATCTTGAAATGTGTTGGACAGTCTCTGAGAAGCCCTAGCAGTAATTAAGTGACATATAATGGAATTGTTCCAAAGCTTGAATCTCCAACATGGCCCCTATGGATGGCAGTTTTCCAGATGAAATCTCTTTGGTTCCATGTTCTATTTTATTTTATATTTTAAAGATTCTTTTAATTTCAAAAAAATGGGAAGCTAACATTTATTTTTATTTATTTATTATTAAATGTATAT